GAGTTTGCAGTGAGCCAAGATTGCGCACTGCACTCCAGCCTGGGCGACAGAGCGAGACTCCATCTCAAAGAAAAAAAAAAAAAAAAAAAAGCACACTGAAACCTTGAACTCCTAGGCTCGAGTGCTCCTCTCACCTCAGCCTCCCGGTTAGCTGGGATTACAGGCACGTGCCACCATGCTCAACTTGTGACCAGAACTATTAAAGAAGCCACAATGGTCTCAGTCAATAAACTGAACCATGAACATCATTATCTATGATTCTACTCACTTTTGTGCTCAAGTTTCTCATATAAGTACCCTACAGCAGGTATAAAAATAAACATTTTCAACCACACAATGTGCAGTTGGTTCCAGTTCTCTGGTTGAGAATTGGTTCACAACGAGTTTTATGTGATTTTCTTTTACCTGCTCACCAGCTACACCATAACGGAGCTTCAAAAATTGTATGAATTAGTTGGGCGTGCTGGTTCAGGCATCTAATCCCAGCACTTTGGGAGGAAGGGGTGGGTGGATCACCTGAGGTCAAAAGTTCGAGACCAGCCTGGCCAACATGGTGAAACTCGTCTCTACTAAAAATATGAAAAATTAGCCAGGCGTAGTGGTGGGTGCCTGTAATCCCAGCTACTCAGGAGACTGAGGCAGGAGAATCGCTTGAACCCAGGAGGCAGAGGTTGCAGTGAGCGGAGATGGCGCCATTGCACACTCCAGCCCGGACAAAAGCAAAACTTCATCTTAAAAAAAAAAAAAAAGGGGGGCCAGGTGGTGGCTCACACCTGTAATCCCAGCACTTTGGGAGGCCGAGGCAGGCAGATCATCAGGTCAGGAGTTCGAGACCAGCCTGAACAACATGGTGAAACCCTATCTCTATTAAAAATACAAAAATTACCCTGACTTGGTGACACGCGCCTGTAACCCCAGCTATTTGGGAGGCTGAGGCAGGAGAATCGCTTGAACCTGGGAGGTGGAGGTTGCAGTGAGCAGAGATCGCACCAATGCACTCCAGCCTGGTGACAAAGTAAGACTCCATTTCGAGGAAAAAAAAAAAAAAAAACTTGTGCATTATCATAGTATAGATACAAAAGAACTATCTTTCATTTATCCAATTTTATGCAATTATGGGATCCACAGTTAATACATTCATAAGGAATTACTCAAAGGAAAATGTAAGCTGAATTGAAGTGGGGAAACCATTAATATTTATTTCCTCCAGTTTTTGTATACCAGCTGCTTTCCAGACTCCCGGCATTAAACAACATATTTTATTTTGTATTTTTAATTTTTGTGAGTACATAGTAGGTGTATATATTTATGGGGGTACATGAGATATTTTGATACAGGCATGTAATGTGTAATAATTACATCAGGATAAATGGGGTATCCATCATCTAAAGCATTTATCCCTTCTTTGCGTTACAAACAATCCAATTATACTCTTCATTATTTTTATTTTTTGAGACAGTCTCGCTCTGTCACCAGGCTGGAGTGCAATGGCATGATCTCGGCTCACTGCAACCTCCGCCTCCCAGGTTCAAGCGATTTTCCAGCCTCAGCCTCCTGAATAGCTGGGATTACAGGTGCCCACCACCACGCCCAGCTAATTTTTGTATTTTTAGTAGAGACAAGGTTACACTTTGGTGGCCAGGATGGTCTCCATTTCTTGACCTCATGATCCACCCGCCTCAGTCTCCCAAAGTGCTGGGATTA